CCCTCTTGCGTCTCCCTCCCTCCCACCCTCCCTATCCCACCCCTCTAGGTGGTCACAAAGCACCGTATTTTTTCTATTTTAACATATTGATACATTCCCATTTCAATAAAAATTTTGAGAGGGCTTCCTCTCAAAGGTTTTATAACATTTCTATATATGGCTGTACCATAGTATACTTAAAACACACTGCTGATCACTGGATTATTCAGTTAACAATTTGTTATTAAAAGAAATGCTGAGACTAAAAAAAAAAAAAAAAAAAAGTCTGGTGGAAAACTGATGTAATTTTGGGTCTTGCAAATCAAAGTCTGAGTCTCTTATCCCCTGACTTTCCCAGAAACAAACAGCAGACAGTAAAACTGGGACACTGGGCCCTACTCCCCAGTCAGGAGGCAGGCCGCTACAATGGCACCGCAGAGCTTGGGAATGCCGAGCCTCGGCTCTGCGCTCTCATGTACCACTCACTCAGAGTGGACGGGTGGTTTTTTGTGGAATCAGCAGTGCTGCTGGGTAAATGCCGCACACAGACACTTACCACTTAGAAGAACTTGCCACAGGGGGCAAGTGGAATCTCTGCTCTGACTGACACAGGATGGACGAGCAGAGGAGACCATCCATCAGTGTCAGGAAAGATCTGAAGCACCCGGCTAGTCAGTTGAAATAAAATAAATTATTTACTGATCTCAGAATCCAGCTGCTCACTTGAATGCTCATAAAGAATGTTTGCTGCCCTGAACTTCGCAGTAGATGCTGTTTCAGAAAGAAAGAATTTCTGGACTACTGTGTGCAGCCTTTTGTTGTTGTTGTGAGAATGAAAAGGGTGTTATCATCTGCTTTCCAAGAAGGAAGTAAGGGTCTTAATACATACCTGAGCTCATCTACATGCGAATAGGAAATGAACTTATTTATTCACTGCATGATATAGTACTCGTGGGCACAGTTTATCCGATTGTCACAAAATTACTTAGGATTAATTAATGAAGTTTTTGCTTATAACGGTAAAGACTGAATTTAGATTCATAACAGAAACAAATGTTCTGACAACATCTAATATTTTAGAAGTTCCTCAGTTGTGACTTTCCACCAGAGGGTGCTATGTGTGCCACTGGAAGCATTCAGAGGTGACTGGGACCAGCTTCCAGTCACCTCACTTCTGAGATCCAATGCTCTAGGCAGAGACACTTGCATTACTATCATCATCTATTTCTACCTGACAAGTCTCCACCGTGACTTTGCCAATAGAGCCACTACTTAATTTGAGTGACCTGGGTAAATACTTTCAAGATGGTGGACTAGTGCGCGCTTTGGCAGCACATATACTAAAACTGGAACGATACAGAGAAGATTAGCATGGCCCCTGTGCAAGGATGACATGCAAATTCGTGAAGCGTTCCATATTTTTATACCCTGAGAAAACCATAATTCAAAAAGAGTCATGTACCACAATGTTCATTGCAGCTCTATCTACAATAGCCAGGACATGGAAGCAACCTAAGTGTCCATCGAAAGATGAATAGATAAAGAAGATGTGGCACATATATACAATGGAATATTACTCAGCCATTAAAAGAAACGAAATTGAGTTATTTGTAGTGAGGTGGATGGACCCAGAGTCTGTCATACAGAGTGAAGTAAGTCAGAAAGAGAAAAACAAATACCATATACTAACACATATATATGGAATCTAAAAAAAAGGTCATGAAGAACCTAGGGGCAGGACGGGAATAAAGACTCAGACCTACTAGAGGATGGACCTGAGGACACAGGAAGGCGGAAGGGGAAAGGGTAAGCTGGGACGAAGTGAGAGAGTAGCACTGACATATATACACTACCAAACGTAAAACCGATAGCTAGTGGGAAGGAGCGATAGCTAGTGGGAAGGAGCCGCATAGCACAGGGAGATCAGCTCGGTGCTTTGTGACCACCTAGAGGGGTGGGATAGGGAGGCTGGGAGGGAGGGAGACACAAGAGGGAAGAGATATGGGGATATATGTATATGTATAGCTGATTCACTTTGTTATACAGCAGAAACTAACACACCATTGTAAAGCCATTATACTCCAATAAAGATGTTAAAAAAAAAAAGATGGTGGACTAGGAGAGAAAGCAATAGGCAAAATAAACATAATAATGACAATGATAACAGCACTAAGATAAGCTACTATGGGCCACTTTCATACACAATCTTGAAAGGTAAACATTATAATTCCCACTTCATAAATGACAAACACTAAGGCTGAAAGGGGAAGGGACCTGTCTAAGCTGACACTGCAGGCAAGTGGTAAAGCTGGGATTCAAACCCATTCTTGCCTGCAGAACTTGGGCTCTCTGCACAGACCCTTCTGTGGACTTTTTCCTTTGAATGAATATACAGATCAGAATCTGATGAATTCAAGTTTGGCTTTTTGCCTTTGGAAAAAATGTGGGGAAAGAAGCCTCGCTCTTGGTTATCTTTCCAAGGCACTGCTTTGCACCTTGGGGAACAGCAGGGATTACGCTCACCTGGGAAAATCCTCACCTTGTACCCTGGACCTCTATCTTGACTGCAGTCAGGCTACTTACTGGGCTTCTTAAAACTAGACCCACTCAGAAAAAGCAGACCCTCTGTTACTGGGAAAGAACTGCAGGCAAACACAAATGATGTCTGAGTAGCATTCTTATTTTAGCAACTTTTGCGGTATGCGGGCCTCTCACTGCCGTGGCCTCTCCCGTCGCGGAGCACAGGCTCCGGACGCGCAGGCCCAGCGGCCATGGCTCACGGGCCCAGCCGCTCCGCGGCACGTGGGATCCTCCTGGACCGGGGCACGAACCCACATTCCCTGCATCGGCAGGCGGACTCCCAACCACTGCGCCACCAGGGAAGCCCTAGCAAACTTTTAATTGAACACATACAAAGTGTATAAATCCCAAGAGTTTATATAACTTGACTTTTCCACAAAGTCTACATACTCATGTAATCAGCCCCCAGATCGAGAAACAGAACCTTACCAGTACCCCAGATGCTCCCCCATCCAGTCACTAGAGCCTCTTCACTCTCCAGGATAACCACTATCATTACTTCTACATATTACTTTTGTGTACTTTTGAACGTTATATACATGGAATCATACAACATGTGCTTTCTCCCCCTTTTTTGGGCATCTGGCTTGTTTTTGAGCAGCCTTATTAATTTTACTTCTATGAGAGATACCAGAAAAAGCATCTTTAGAAGAACAATGCTGAAGAACTTTATGTTTTAAGAATTAACATTAAATAAGCAATTTTTACCGCTTTAGAGGTTTTTTTTGTGAGGAGGGAGAAAGAGGTTTACGGAGGGGGAAAAAAGGTAGGTTGTGTGTGTTCCAATTCAGATACTGGGTGCTAATTCATCTATTTAGTCTGTCAGAATCACCATCATCTTAAAAGCTCTTGTTTACTGAGCACTTGCTATGTGCCATGCACCTTTCTAAGTACTTTCTAAGTACTCCGCGTGTGATAATGACTTTCCATCCCCGTAATTACCCTATCTATGAGACAGAGACTATTATCTTCATCTTACAGAGGAGGAGATTGCGGCTCTGCATCACTTGACTGTGTTGATACAGCTAATGAATGAGCCGGGGTTTGAACCCAGGCTTCTAACTCTTCAGTCTGTCCTCCAAGCTACCACTCTATTGCCTCTCCACTAACAGCTCACTTACAGTCTACCAACTGCCAGGCCCTGCGCTAAGCTAAGTGGAGTATCTGACTCATTCCCCACAGCAATCCTAAGAGGCTGGCACACTGATATTCCCATTTAAACAGAATGGAATCAAGCCTCAGAAAGATTAAGACACTTGCCTAATACCGCTGGTTGTCGACAGAGCCACAATTTAAACCAGATGTGATTCTGATGCTCATCTATTAATTAGTAAGCTACTGTCAGCATATCTCAAGCTCCTGTCGGTCAAGTTGGGATGAATATTTGAGAGCTTTTTGAGACTTATTACAAATTAGCCACACTAATGCCCACATTAGAAAAGGTTTTATTATGAGACATTTACAAAACATTTGTGAGGAACATAACATTAGTGAGCCTTAGAGTTAGAATTCAAACTTTCTCCCTTTACGCATGAAGCAAACGAAGCCCAGGAAGAGGCAGTGTGGCAGAGGTCTCGGCAGAGCCCAGGAGTAGCTCAGCTCCCTGACTGGGTAAGTCTGGCACCTGTACCCGCTCCCCTGCCCTCCCATCATCCTCTTTCATGCAGCACGTGCATTCCAGTTGGCCAGACCAGGGTTCTGCCCCTGATACCACTACCTACCTGCTGTGTGAGCATGGGCATGAGACTTCACCTCTCTGCACCTCATTTACCTTCTGTGTCAGATGGAGACAGTAAAAATACCTACCTTTTAGGTAGGTTAGTAGTGCATGTAAAGCACTGAGCACAGTGCCTAATACACGCACATACCTATAGATGACGGCCATGAGGATGGTGATGATGTTGGCGTATTCATATTCTGCTGACTACTATGACACTTTTTCTACCTCTGTTAGGTTTAAGTCAAAACAGAAATTTAGCACTTACTGGAAACAAATTAACCCCAAATATTAATTGAATTTTAGTTCTAGATTATCTGGTGAGGATCCAAATATAACTTCTGAGGTCATTAAAAAGCTTCCCGAATAAAGGCACGAATGAATAAGGAATGGATTCATGGAGTAAGAAAAGGCAAGTAGCAATGTTACAAAGCAGTTCTAAGGATAGGATGTAGGAGAATTACAGAATGAAAATTATGGAACTTCACGTAAGTCAATCAGTTTGCAAAGAGTCTCAAGTTAGTTCTATTTCTAATATTCTGCTTCATAAAAAAGAAGACAAGACAGAGCACTCAGGTGGGAAAAAGGAGTTACTTTAAATTTCACTGCTTCAACATCTTCTCTGAAAACAAATTACCGTTAGTCATTCAGGTCACATAAAAGTTGTATGTTGTTTCTTTCCCTATTTCGACATTGACCACTGATAGAAAGTTGACACACTTACCTAACTGTACATCAGTTGTGAATCGGAGTCTGTGAATCATGCTGACTTTGAATGACTTGTAATGGTGGCTGCTCAGCATATCCTGTACTGTAGCTATGTCAATTTGCGAATCCTCCTCAAAAACCCCGTCTGCCCTTGAACCTGGGGAGGAAAAAGCAGTTTAACACATAAAGATACATGAGGCTTGGCAAATGGTGTCTGCTTAAAATGCTTTGGGATAAATTAAAATAATATGGGCTATTTAATTTGGAAAAGAAAAGGCTGAGCGATGACTTAATAATGCCATTCCAGTAAACAAAGAATGGTAACACATTAATCATTGAACAATTAATTCCACAAACACTGCCTGTTCTATGGCAGGCCCTTGGCTGGGCAGCAGCAATACAGAGGGCAGAAAAACTCCTGCTCGCCAGAAGCTCTGTCTCCACAAGAGTAAGTCAAAATCACAAAAGCATGGGTGGTCACACTTCTTGCTTCTTTTTCTATTAATTTTCCTGATCATAAAAGTAGTCCATGCTCCTTGAAGAATCCCTGTTCTTCCCACGATTCGCAAACTGTTTATCAGCTTCCTGTCCTGCGTCCCACAGCCTCCAGTGGTTCAGGTACGAGCCTGCTCGCGCTCAGACGGCTGTAACGGTCTCCTCAATGGCCTTCTGGCCACCAGGATCCCTCAGCAGTCCAGCTACTACAGGACTTTCCGATTTATCTTTCTAAAGGTTTGATCACTCATTCACTCATCAAACGTGTAGTGTGCACTAAGTACTCTGATATTGATAGTGGGGACAAATAAGAAGATTGGAGCTCAAAGATCTTCCCTGGCTTCCCAAGGCCTCCTGAATGAAGCACACTCTTTTCAGTCAAGCAATCGAGGACGTCCACAATCTTGCTGAAACAAAAATTTCCCATTTTATTTGTCATTTCTAACACATACCTTCTCTCAGCTCTTCCCAAACTCCTCAGACTATATATAGGTTCAGGTTTTTCTACTTCTGGTTCTTTGCTCATGTGGTACCGTTGGCCTAGAACATCCCTCTGTCAAAACTCCACCCAGGCTAGCTCAGATTCCACCTCCTCTTGAACTCCATGGCAGCTGGTTTATACTGGACTTGGAGCCAGGGAGACCTGGGCTCAATTCCTGGCTCTGCCTCTAACTTACTGTGTGATATTGGCCAAGCGACTATTTCTCTCAACCCCAGCATCTGCCATCCACAGAATACCAAAACATATTTAGAGAATCTAGTATGTAATATGCTTAATAAATAGCAGTCATGATTATTTTTATTCTCTTGTCATAGTGGATCACATTTAGGCTTGCACTAGAATTGCTGAGTGGTTGCTGTGTCCTAAATTGGAAACTTCGTGAGGATCAGTAAAGTCTCTTATTCATCTCTACATCTTTTCCTGCAAGCAGTACAGGTAACTGGCATGCTCTCACTAAATTTTGCTAAATAAACAGATCAATCAATAATAATAACGACAGCTAGTACAGGTGAGTACTCATACGTCAGGCATGGCACTGAGCGCTTCACACATGCATTTAAGTCTCAAGACAACCTGGTAGGTAGGTCCTATAATTTTCGTATTACACAGATGAAGAAGCCGAGGCTCTGAGAGGCAAAGTCACACGCCCAAGGTCACATAAGCAAAGCTAAACTAACTCTCGTCACCCCCCATGCCTGAGTTTGAAATGTGGTCTTCTGAAGGTGTGGCTGCTGGTGGGAGGGAGCATCTGTCTAGAAGAGGCCAACCAGAGCGGGGTGCCCAAGGCCTTGTGATGAGCACACAGAGACGGTTCCACAGGGAGACCACGAGAGAACTCCTTGGCACAGAGTTGGAGGAATGGAAAACTCTAGATTTGGGCATAAAACTGGAAAATTCTCTATGCCTACCAATTACACACTTTCCTTCCCACAGTTATTCCTTACAGGGGAGGCTTTTAAGGCAAAGCTGTTTTCTGATGCCTTCACATTTAACTAATTTAGTAGGAATTGTGCGTTTTATTTCCAAACACTACAACTATTCCCAGCTTGGACCATTCTAGCACCTACAAGGATGCTTTCCCCTCGGTAAGGCTGCAGCCTCGGCCTTAACGGGCCAGTCACCGAATGCCTGTGACACAGTCCCACGTGTTGGCCTCTCCGCCCAGGTCACCCTTCTTCCCATTGCACTCCCTCCTGGCCTTTTTCTCCAGGCCTCCTCCCCATCCCTCTGATGAGCTTGGCTCAAGTGACATTCCAAGGAACCCTAAGTCTAGCTCAGCTCTGTCTGTCACTGCACCCTGCATTTCCCTTCAGGTTATTTATCACAGATAGTAATCGTCTGTCTCCACCACTAGACTGTAACCCCAAGAGCAGAGGCAGAGTAACTGCTTTACTAAACACCAGAGCGCAGACCCTGCTAGTGCTACCACGCACAGAATAAAGCAAGAGCTCAATAACAATTTACTGGATGAATACCGAGTGCCGTATCCCTAGGATCAGAGAGGCGTAGTGACTTAACCAACATCACATTGCCAAGACTAGCAAAGTTGCACTCGATGTCTGCAAGGGTCATTTGGTAACCCTGTTTCCTTTCTCTGGAACACCTGTGATTTTGGATACAGATGCTGTCATCATGATCGCTACTGTCTCCAGAGTAATGCCCACATCGCAAGCCAAGAGGCTGGCTAGAAATTAAAGTTTCAAATAGTTATTCACTTTCTCCAAATATACCTTTTACTAAAACAGAGCTGCCAAGATGTGTTTACTTTTACTTTAGAACTTTTTAAACTGAGAATTTTGGAGAAATACTAAAATCCTTTCATGTTTTAAATCATTTAAAGCCATCTTTTCTCAGAAAATGCCATTATGAGATACAACTCAGCTTAAGAACTTCTGTTTTCTTTACCAGTTAGTATTTTCTAAATATTGCAGGTATTTGATTTGGAAAGAGGTAACAGCTCATTATGCTAAAATGCCAATTATTTAAAAAAAACCACACTTAAGAGTTTTACGTTTTATGAGGTTGGATTAAAACTAATTTAAAAATTACTATAACGTGACATAATTCTTTACTGAGCAATTTCAATGCCAGCTGCTAATAAAGCATCTTAGATGCTTTTAGATAAAGTGGTGCATAAATATGACTGGAAATTGATTTAGCTTCTTGCAGAAGCTACTGAAGAATGACATATTTTGTTTAATACACCAGCTAATGTAGTCCTAAAAGCTCAAACAAGTGCCAGTTTTCACTCCTAAATTTGCTGTGCGAGATTAATGAAAACTTTATATTTTGCTGAAATGTTAATAATGGGCAGATGAGATGATACGATTTTAGTAGAGGTCTTAAAGCTATGGAATAACCAGCAAGGCTTGTCAGTTTCCTCATATTAATTTTGTTCAAGACTTATATAGCTGGAGCTGGCTCAACACATTAATGCTTCTTGCATTGACCTTCTACTCTCTGACAGTGTAAATTCATATCCCATTTAAGGATTTAAGTCCCCTTGATACTTGGGTGAGTTCTGAGCCTTGCCCCGGTTGACAAGGGGTGTGTTTACTTTTACGGTCAAAAGGGCAGCAGCACCGGGGGAGCAGAAAAGGAAGAAACAGTCCTGCACTCACCTCTGATACACGCTGCTCACCCCCAAGCAGGTTATCTGCTGAATGGGAACAACTTCTGGTTTTGGAGTTCCAGTGCCATTTCTCAAAGTAGGCTCAGGAATTCCTCTGCTTGGAGGGGACGTGTCTGTGTGTACAGATCAGTCAGCCATGCAACCTGCAACTACTGTCCCCATGCCTGCAGTGTGCTAGACTGGGAAGGGACATTGATGAAGATAAGGCAGGGTTCCCGACCTTCAGGAGCTTACATATTCACTATAGAACACCAAGAAAACAGGACAAGGCAGAGAGAAGTGCCCAATAAATGATGCATGCAACAGACACTTAATCTAAAGGCACACATCTGAAGCAGAGCATTACAGCAAAAGCATTTTTTTTTTTTTTTTAACCGGGAAAGTTCTGACTTTGCATTTTTACTGTTTGTATCCTTCTGGAAAGGGGTGAACCCAAACACACATGAAAGATGCTTAATACTGCACCACAGTGCATATTAAAAATATTACTGTACTATCAACTTCACATTCCAAAACGACTTCTGTTAAGAGAAGACATTTTTATCTACTCGAAGTAAAAAATAGAACCAGAATGTCTTAAAAACAAACATATTAAAAAAAACCACTCCCCAAACTGTTAATTTAATTGAAATATAACCCTTTGGTATTTTGTTAAATTAGCAATTAAAAAGGTCACAAGCAATTAAATGAAACAAAAGCCACACTGTGTTCATCTACATTAATGCTGAATTGGGTCTCCTCATGAATGACAAGATAAATTGTAATGGTGCCTTCAAAGACTTCACAATGTATTTTGTCAAAGTCGAGAGTGTTAATGTCTCTATGTGCCATGGATTACCATAATGTATTGTGTCAAAACGCTTGAGCTGCAATAACTCAAAGATGTATTGTGATAGATCAAATTTTTTGGGGGGGGGCCTAAAAGTGACTTGAACACCAGAGCTCAAACGGACTGACAACAGGCTCTGGAAGGATGACAGAGAGCACGTTCATGATACAGAAAGCGCTGGGGAACAAGCAAAAAATGCAAGAGAGGAAGGAGCGTAGCTGTCTGAAGTAAGGAATCAGGAAAAAAGGAAACAAGGAGTGGCACCTGTCTTAATGGCAACACCAGGCCAGGGAAGAGGGAGCAAAGGGAAACAGAGAGGAGGGGAAGGAGGAGGCTGGCGGGGTGTAAGGGCTGCACTGAAGAAAGAAAGAGGAGGTACTGAGAGAGAGCCGGATGTGGCCCTAGGGCTTGATAACACTGGAAGGAACCTGGAACATCCAGTTCAGAGATGTGGATTCAAATCCTAACTCTTGACACCGTGGGTCAAGAGCAGGTCAAAAACCTTGCCCAAGGTTCCACTGTTGGAAAGAGGCGGAGCTGGGACAGATCTATCGGACTCCGGAGTCATGTTCCTTCTCCTGCCCCTCCAGTGTCACCACATTCCTACAAGCAGCAGCAAGGACAGGGACTGTGTGGGTAACTGTAAACTCTAAGTCAGTGGTTCTCAAAGTGCAGCTCAGGACCCCAGGTGTGGGGGGA